CGGGCCCCGGGCCCTGGGGCCCTGGCCCAGACCCCGACCCGGACCCGGACCCTGACCCCGACCCCGACCCTGGGCCCCGGCCCGGCCTGGCCCGACCCGACCAGGCAGAGCCCGGCCGCTCGCTCAGCTCTGCAGACAGCGCGGGCAGGAGGCCTGGGTCTTGGCCCCCGCAGCCCGGGCCAGGCGGTCACCCTCCCAGGGCGCCCACAGGTCAGGGGTCAGCTGGGCTCCCTCAGCAAATGTCTGCCCGCCTGGTCAAGCTCTAGACCAAGGGTCACCAGGGCCGCCGAGGCCACCACAGCTCAGCTCCTGTCCCCCAGGCCCGGCCCAGCCACCAGGTTACAGTAGAAAATCGCTGGTTCACCCAGGGAGGGTCTGCGGCCCTGTTGCCCCAGACCTCAGAGGAGAGGACCCGCAGAGCCAGTGGCACCAGAGTGCGGGCAGGGCCGCCGCCCGGAGGCCGACCAGGTCCCAGCGCAGCAGGGCTCCTCCCCGGCCTCTCCTCGGCTGCAGACGCCCTCCACCGGACCTGTCCACATCTCCCCTGGTGAGGTCCCCAGTCACCCCGTCAGGGCCCACCCCAGAGCCGCACCCTGACTTAACTGCCTCTTTGAGAGCGCACCTGCAGGGCCAGCAGGTGGTGTGTCCTAAGATGCTGGGCTCCGGCGTGGGGACGTGCTCAGAGCCCCGGAGCGGTGGTTTGAGAATCACTGGGCTTGTGTGGACACCCAAAATCCCAGGAGGAGAGTGGAGGAGCAGGGACTGCAGCGTGGCCATCCCTGGGGGAGCATTCCTCCCTCTCCCTCTCTCTGGCAAGCACTCGTAGCCCACGGCCTATAGCCAAAACCTGGGGTGGGGAAAGAAAAGAAAACCAAAAACGTCTCGTCCTGGGGATATGGAGGTTTGGGCTTCAGCTCATGGATTTGGGGGAACACAGTTTAGTCCATAATAAGGAGATGATTTAAAAACAAACTGCCCTCCTGAAAACCTTGGCCTTTGTAAAGAGCATGCTGAGGGGAGGAGCCGTGAGCAGGGTGCGCCACCGAGGCCTGGCGTCCCTGGCCAGCGGGCGGCGACCTTCGGGCAGCCTTGGGTGCCGGCCAGCGGGAGGCCACCTGCTCAGCCAGGGCAGCGGACTGCGTCTTCACGTTCCCTCCGGATTCCCTGGAAGTGAGCCAGTCACCTTCCTGCCTGAGAAGCACCCGAATTTGTGAACTAGTTCCTGGGAGGCAGCTGTTCAGCCCTTCTGGAGGCCGGATGTGGGCCTGGACTGCGGCAGGGTGAGCGCTGTGGCTTGCGGGGACAAGGCCGCCAGGCAGGGCACGGCCCAGGCCAGTCTCCCACCTCTGTCTGCGGATCGGATTGTAGAGAAAATGACTCCCCTGCTGTGCTTCTGTGGGGACAGAGAGAAGTGGGGCCATCAGCTTTCTGTGAAAAGCCAGAGCTCCCGCCTGCCTCAGAGCCATTCCCATTCTCTGCTAGGACAGGGAACCTGCTGACAGGAAACGGCCCAGCCCAGCAGGTAGCCGCGACCCCCAGGCAGTGTCAGGGACTGTCCCCTGACTCGGCTGGACTTCTTCGTCCTCCCCCTCTGGGGAGGAGAAACCTTACACTCCTGTGCATGTAGGAGTGGGTCTGTGTGTGGAGGGTGAAGGCTTGTGTACTTGCACCGGGGACTGCTGGAGCTCCCGGAGCAAAACTCCCAGAGGCAGGCCCTTTCATGTCTGTATGCGCATAGTGCAGTTAAAAATAGAGGGCATGCTGGACCAGCGGTGAGCGCAATGGCTGTGTCGCTGGACTCCCACGTAGTCGACCACGGTTCACGTCCCGGACCTGGTGGCTTAAACTCACGCCGGGCGTGTGCATGCCCAAGATCCCGAGAGGAAAAGGGAGGAGAGGTATTGTGGCTTGGTCATCCTCCCTCGGGGGTGATTTCTCGCTTTCTGTCTCTCTCTGTCTCTGTCTGTCTGGCAAGTGCATGTGCCCTATAGCGAAAACCTCTTGAGAAAAAAAAAAAAAAAAGAAAAAAGAAAAATAGAGGGCATGTTTTGCTCCACGTCTGCAAAAGAAAAAAGAAAAATAGAGGGCATGTTTTGCTCCACCTGCATTCTTGTTTGCAGACGTGGAGCTCCCACACACCCAGTCCTCCAGCTGGACTGCTGAGCCTGCCAGCACCCTGGGTGGTGTCCAGACGCCCAGCCAGGCTGTGTTCATCAGCAGGACCCACTGGCTGGTTTCTGGTCAGATGAGCAAGGGATGGATGAGCTCAGGGGAGGCTGCATTTCAGACAGCTGGAGAGAGGAGGTGGGTGTTCCCCAAGGACATTATTTCTAGTCATTCGCCCGAGAAATTTCCACTACTGTGTACAGCTGCCAGCTGCCTGGAAGAAAGGAATCGGATGAAAGGGGCATGCTTGGGAATAATGGGAGCACCCCACTGGCAGGAGGGGCAGGAAGTGAGCACAGATGCAGAAGGGATCCCCGGGCAAAGCAGAGTCCTGGCACCCAAAAGCAAGCAGAGGTTTCCTAGAGCTGGGATTGAAACAGGAGCGGTGACTGGATGGAGGAAGTTCGAAGGAACGGTGTCCCATCCCTGTTCGGGCGCCAGGTGTCCCGATCCCCGGGGGGACAGCCGAACAGGTTTCCTGAGTGAAGGAGTGAGAGCCGGGGCAAGCAGCGTAGTGTTACAGCACGGAGACGACAGCGTCGTCCGTTTATTGTGGGCAGCACGGTACAGCACAGAGACGACGCAGTGTCACAGCCCTTAAGGGTCACGTCGTCTACTGTGAGCAGCATGGAGACGACGTGGTATCACAACTCTTCAGGGTCGTCCGGAGACGATGTAGTGTTACAATTCTTCAGGGTCTCCCAGGTCATCTGGAGACGATGCAGTGTCAGCTCTTCAGGATCTTCAGGGTCGTCTGGAGACTGTGCGGTGTTTCAGCTCTTCAGGCTCTTCAGTTGTCGTCTTCCTGGTCGTCATCATCTTCCTGGGCGTCTGTGTCGTCTTCCTGGTCGTCTGTGTCGTCTGGCTACTGTGGGCCAGGCATTGTGGTTATATACACACTGGTGGGCCGTGATTGGTTGTTAACGGTGGGTTATGATTGGTTGCTTTTGGACCAATCATGAGGTGCCGGATATGCAAATCTGAGGGATTCTAGTGGCCAATCAGAGCAAGGTTTCAAAGGTCAGGTTTTGAAGGGAAGCCAATCATGGCTTTTGGCATTGTGTAATTGTTTGCTTTCTGAGAAACCGGTTGACTCGCTGGTGGGCAGCCTCCCACAGGACGGGGTCTGCGTGGATGACTGCGACAGCCAGCGGTTCTCGTCTGGCACCTGATGAGCCCTCGGGCCAGCAGGAAGCTCTGTTTCGTAGGCTCACCCAGGAGGCCCTCTTGACACCCAGACAAGGGGACAAGAAGGAACTTTTTTAGGCTGCTATGAAACACGGGCCTTAAACTCGCCACCCCAGATGGCACTGACGTTGCCTGCACACAGCTGGCCTCAGGGAGTGGGGAGGCACCCAGTGACCAGGCTGGGGCAGGGTCTGTTGGTGAGCAGCTTGAAGCATCGCCAGTGCCACAAACATTGCAGAGCGAGGCTGTGGCAGGGGCCAGGCGGGTCTGCAGAAGACAGAAACCTGGCAGGGAAGTGACACCACCAGATTCCCACTTCTGAAGTCTGAGCTGCTGCGTTGCCATGAGAATCCACGTGTGCATACATAAGTACGCGCAAGCCATGACTCTCATCGCTTGAGTGCTGTTTTTGCCCCAGTCTTGTCCACCTGGACAGCAGTGACCACTGTGTTAAAACTTCGTGTCCTGTATCATTTTCTATGAGGGGTGTCTTCAAAAGGTTCATGGGATGTGTGTACTTATGAATAAACTGCGTGGGTTCATGGAGCATAGGGCCAGTGAGACCAGGCGTGAGAGCACCCCGTAGGCACCACAGGGGGTTGTCGGAGGGAAAGCGCCCGTGCAACAAGGGTTGGGCGGGTCACAGACTCGGAAGCACCTGCCGCTTCCACCCTGCGTTTCTCGGCCTCCCTGAAGCCAGCGGAGCTTAAGAGGCTGCACCTGGGCTGGGAGTGCGTTTGCCCCCACCCCGGCTCTGTCACTTACCTGGACAGCACCCGGCGGGGTTGGCGAGGGACCTTCGCTCTGAAGCCACAGCAGGGATGGGGGGTCTGGAGGGCCCTGAGATGCCCTCGGAGTTTAAGAAGCTGTCCTACAGATTAAACATAGTAATAATATACTGCAGGGCCTGCAGGCAGGGTGGTGGTTAAGGCCCTGGACCCCCACGTGGCCGACTGTGGTTCGTCTCCCGGACCTGGCAGCTTGCTTTCTCACTTTCTCTGTGTGAGTGTGTGAGTGTGTGTGTGTGTGTGTGTGTGTGTGCGCGCGTGCATGTGTGGTGT